AGATGAGGACTGTTTCTTAATGCAGAAAAACTCTGAACATAAGTTAATTCTGACCATTTTCCCTCCCTTTTACAGTACAACTCTAGTTGCAAAATACCATCATAATCAATTCTTCCCTCTGCATTCTACTGTGTCTCTAAGGGGTGAGCTGTCCATGCATGAGTGCAAAAGAATATTAACCCACTTTTTCTAAATACATGAGGGCCGAAAAAATTCCAGTGCTTAAGAATATATTCCAAAGGAGTAAGAGAATTCAACATTGAGTTTCCCAAAACCAGAAAGGGAAAAAATAGGCATCCCTTTAATCCCTGCTTGGCTTTTATGGGCCCTCAAGGTGTCCCTGAGAGGAGCTGCTCCAGAGCAGGTGGCTGCTATTTGGAGAGTGACTAGAAAATAGAGTGGGCCAGACTATCTACCCTTACTGATACATGTCCCTAGCTTCTCTGGAAACTCAAATTCCTAACTCCAAAGTATGTTTCCAAAAGCACAAGCTACAACTGATTCACACTATAATGTCTATGTTTAAAAAAGGAAGCATTGCTAGCACAATTAATCCAACGGTCAAGAGAACTGAACAACTGCTTTTCCATTCTTTGAAAGAAAGCGAGAGAGAAAAAAGGGAAGATCTGAAGTGATTGGAGCATTTTCCAGCCTGAAAAATAGATAACCTCTAGAGCTAAATAGAGGCAAGTGATGGCTCAGAATAATCCTGCCCTGGGTCCTAGGGCAAAGAAGTCACTGAGACATTTGTGCTATCTACCTAATCACCTATGCAATCTCCCTCACCAGCAAGACAAAGCTAAGTTTTATTCAAAATCCACTCCACAGGTTTCTATCTCTCTAAATCTGTAGCACACTTATGAAAGTCTCGGGATAAAACCTGTAGTCATTGTCCAGCAACCACAACTTGCACATTAGCAAATGTATTTCCTTCTCCTACACACACGAGTGAAGAGAACAAGGCTTAGGAAGGGAGAGAGCCAAGAGGTTGGGGCCATTTGGAGAGTATGCGGGAGTGGCATAAAAGACTAGTTTAGAAATTCTTTCCTGCACTGAATGTGTTTTGGTTCCTTAAGTATTAGGAAATAGCTCCTTCTGATGTCACCCAGAAGTTAGTTCTTTCTGCTGGGTCTCAGGTTTCAATTTTCTGTACCTGCTGGATGAGCAATTGTGCCCAGAACACTAGGTGAGACATCATCTTGATGTGTGTTCTCCTGGGCAAAATTTAGGTGTCTCATGTGACCCAGAGATGAAGTATGTGTTCCTCATCTATGATGACCTCCATGTCTTCAGCATTAACAAATGCTCATGTTTTATAGGCTCAACTTTAAAGTTCTTAGTTGTTGGATAGGAGGGAAAGATTGAGACAAATTTTGACTAAAATCTTTTCAGAGTCTCTCCCTTTCTCTCTGATCTTCAGAAGAAACATGCCTCCCAAAAAGAGGAAAGTCCAAAGTGATGGAAAAAGATCCACAAAAAAGAAAGTCTCCTCTTCTCATGCTTTTTACTGAGAAATTTTGCCCAAGGGTCATCCCTCTCATCCTGGAAAGGTAGAATGAGGAATCTCAAGAGCTAAGATCGCCTCCTCACCAGCAGAAGATCAGACCAGAGAGGAAACTGAGGCAGAACAGATGCTATATTTCCCTCTATGAGCATGGAGAGGGGATTGGGCCAGACTGTTTCAGTGAATCCTACTCTTCCAGATTAAGGTTTGGGGTGCACTGTCACAAATCACTGGCTGAGGGAGTCCTGAATTTGTAAGAGTAATTTATATGTCACAACCTAGATTTTATTTAAAAAAAAATTGTTATGGGTTGTGTTTAGTTGTCCCCCCAAAGCCTCATGTGGATGAGATGGGGCTTTCTTTTTCAGAGGTGGATGAATCTACAGTGTGAGATGCTGGGATTAAGGGCATGCGATTACTAAACCATTACATGTGAGGGACTGGTTTGGCACCACCCTAATTCCGCTAGGCTGCATTAAGATAAAAGGAGCAGAAAGACATCATTCAGATCCTCCTTGTTGCTTTGCTGTCTTCTGCCACCATGAACTGTTGTTGTCCCCCATACCACCCTAGCCAGCCAGTTATGAACTGAAAACTCTATGAACTGTAAGCCAAATAAACCTTTCATTATTGTCTCAGCAGCACAAGAAAAGTAACTTAACGCACCATTTTACAGCATTTTACGAATTTACATTTTGGTTAGCATCAGAGTTCACTAGGGGATGGTCTAACATTACTCTTTCCTAGTGCCAGTTCTCTGAGATAATAATCAGAACAGCCAAACAAGTCAAACCTGTCAAACAAGGACCACCAGTAAATTCAGCAACTAGTAAGTCCATGCACAAAATAGGAATAGAAGACCCTGCTTATAAAAATAAAATGTCCCATCTAAGAAACATCATAATCTTCCCATGTTCTCAACTTAAGTTATCATCATTTGACAAAGGAAAAGATATAAAAGACAACAGTAGAAGATAAAGCATAAACAACTGGCAAACAAGAATGACAATTTCTGATTACCTATATAAATAATAATACAGAATCCATGAAACAAAAGCAGACTCTTACCTCCTTCAATTATTGAGTGGGACTCCAAAATGACATAGGGGGAAAACGCTCAACCTGCTAGATGTCAGATATACCAAGTTTGAGTTCCCCAAAGTCTAAGAATGAATTCTAAGGAACAACGGAGAAGAGTAGGAAAATTTATTATGGAATAGGAATGGGAGACAGAAATAGCTCCTGAGGGATAGGAGAACTTCCAAACAGGTTGCCTTAGACTTCATTCTTTTGTGTATGAACATCCACTTTTGCATCATTTGTTGGAAATGCTGATCTTTCCCACGTTTGAAAGATGCAAGTTTTTCCTGATTTTATTTAGCACACAGCAAAGAGTCTGGGACATGTACGCTCAGGGAAATCATCCTGATACCTTTGAAACAATCCAAGCCTTTGTTTCCTCCTGGTGTCAACACTGATTTAGACACAGCCAAGTAGAGGCAGTAAGATGGGGCAGGAGGAGGAGGTTCTTGTTGTGTAAATCATCACACATTTGCATGACCTTCAGGGGATCCCATTTATGGGCACTGTCATCTCCGGAGGGGAGAAGGTGGCCTCCTGGCAGGCACCTCTCACTCACTCCCTGTGGGGCCCTGAGTGTCACATGTCCCCCTGCATCGGGCACAGTGCTCTCCTCTGCTCCATGTTGCCTCACTTGCACAGCTGTGAGGCCACAGAGACCTTTGCCAGGGCCATAGGGCAGATGTGACTGATTCCCACACGATGGGAGTTCACAAGGCTCCGATCTCCTCCTGATCCTCACTTTCCATTCTGGAACAGAGTGGGAGAGAATGGAGCAGGACGCTGGAGTGGGGATGGGAAGAGACTGCAACCATACCTGCTAGTCCTCAGTGCTGGCACCATGGTAGCAGTGGTCAGCCTGTTCTCTTTCCCTGTCAGTGCCTGCTGGAAAAGACCCCTTGGGCCTGCAAGGGCTGGGTGTATAGGCTGACAAAGCAAGACTGGCTGTCCCCGCTAAGGGCAGATCTAACACTTGGTACCCAGGAGTCCTTCAGGGAAACCACAGGCCATGTCTGATCACCTTTAGACCTGTTTGTGGCTCTCAAAGGCTTCTGGTGGCCATGGTACCCAGGTCTCCACCCACCCACAGGGAGCTGGGAAGGTCACACTAAGGCCAGTAGGGCACAGACAACCCATGAATCACTAGTGCTCAGGGACCTTTCCAACCACTTTGTCTTCCCCCACTTCCTGTCCGCACAGCCCTCACCTAGTATGTCAAGCCACACCTGGTGGCCACCAAATGTCGCTTGTGCTGGGAGGTCCCTCAATCCCAGTAGATGGTCTGGTTGGCCAGCCTTTGCCCACTGGTTGTCCTGATGACAGTCACTTCCATGATGACCCTCTGGTCAGAGATGTTGGAATAGGAGCTCAACCCTGAGTGTCATGTGTCCCTCCACACTGGGCACAGTTCTCTTCTACCCCATGGTGCTCATATCTGCAGGGCTGTGGGATTCTAGAGAGCATTTCCAGGGATGTAGAGCAGATGTAACTGATTCCCACAGGATGGAAGGTCATGAGGCCCCAACAACCTCCTGTTCCTCACTCTCTATCCAGGGACAGAGTGGAAGAGAATGGAGCAGGTTATGGGAATTGGGATGGAAAGAACCTGCAGCCATACCTGCTGGTCCACAGTGTGGATACCAGAGCAGCAGTGGCTAGGCTGTCCCTCTCTCCTGGCGGTGCTTATTGGAAAAGGCCTCCTGGGCCCACCGTGGCTGGGACTGCAGGCTGGTGACCAAGCCTGGGTGTCATAGTCTACGGTGCTGGTCACACTTTCCAAGACCTGGGCTCCCACAGGAAACCTCTCTCTGCTTCTGTGATGCTGGGAAATGTGGAGAGGGGGAGGAATCTGGGGTGTGGCGAGGAGAGGTGCAGAGCAGACACAGCCAGCTAAGGGTCTTCCACCCCCAGGGCAGGTCTGAGACCTGGAACCCAGGAGTCCAGCAGGGAAACCACAGGCCACATCTGATCACATCTGGACCTAGTGATGTCTTTCAAAGGCTTCTGATGGCTGTGGTGCCAAGGTCCCACCCACAGGGATCTGGGAAGGTCACATAAAGGGCAGGTGGGGACCCAGCCTACAAAGCAGAGGTGTCCGGGAGTCTTTCCAATCAAATTTTCTTCCTCCATTTGTTGTCCACACAGCCTTCACCTACTGTGATAAGATATGCTGGACAGCAAGCAAGCAACCATTGTGCTGGGAGGATCCTCAGGCTCAGCAGATGGCCTGGTTGGCTAGCCTCTGCCTACTGGTGGCCCTGATAACAGTCATCTCCAGGATGAACCATTGTGGCTGGCAGTGTTGGGAGGGGGAGGGAGTGACTTATTAAGGATCCTGTAAGAAGAGGGGAGGAGGCAGAGGCTGTGTCTCTCTGAAGGGCACTTCATCCCCTGACTGATGTCTTTTTGTCTTCAGGTCCATCTTCGTGGGTGACTCTTGGCGTCACATTCACAAGTTTGTGGAGAATATGGTGGCAAATTTACCAGAGTAAGCTTCTCCATGCTGCAGGCTGCCTCAACAACCAATAGACTTGGTGGGGTCCTTTGGCTGGGGGCACAGAGCTCAGCCTGACCAGGCAGGAAAGGGGACAGAGTGCACTGGTCTCCTGGGTCTCAGCAGTGTGCCTGACCTGCCTGGGAGCCTGGGCACCTGCAGGGACACCGTCTGCCCTCCAGACCCCCAGGCTAGGAAGGAAGTCAGGACTGGCAGAGCAGCAAACTCAGTAGCTGACACATGGACACAACGGGCTCAGGGCCAAAGGAAAGGGAGAGAGAACGTGCCAGGAAGGTTAGAGGGGAGAGCAAGGATTCCTAGAGGGAAGTGGTCCTGGGCAGCTTCCCAGAGGATGTGGGAAGTGAACTTGACCTTGAAAGATGGAGAAAAGTCAGGGTCACAGTAGCCCTCAGAGTGCCCTCTAGTGTGTGGTCTGTTTAGGGTGAGGAGCATGGGTAACTCAGGAAAGGGCTGGAAGCAAATCCTCACAAGTTGCTTGGGGCCGATGTCAGGAGAATTTACTGTGCCATGTCAAGAAGTGGTTGAATTCTTCCTGTGAGCTACAAGGAGCCACGGAAGGATCACAGGCAGGGGAGTGATGTGGTACTCCAGGAAAAAAAGAAGAAAAACCTGGCACCTGTGGTGAACAGAGCTGGGAACAAGAGCAGGAGCAGCTGGCAGCTCAGCCAGGAAGGCTGCAGCCACTTTGCTGAGGGTCAGAAGTCCTGGGCTGAGGGCAGTGGTCAGCGACAGGAAAGGGAGGTGTTGTGAATGGTTCCCAGGGAGAGTGGGATTTCCTGAGCTGGAAGGAGGGAGGAGGAAATGGAGGGAAAGAGGGATGGGGTGAGGATTGAAGGAAGGGACTGTAGAAGACAGGCCAGGCGGGAGGGAGGCCCATGAGGATTGTGGATGTCATTTTGTCTGTTTAGTTCACACATGTGTGTGTGGGATGCTGCAGTGCAGGGGTGGGGCCTGAAGCCATCCTGATGCTCTCCCCTCCTTGGGACCATTCATTGCCTCAGGCGTCACAATCCTCCTATATTTATTCAATTCCCCAGTGTCTGAAGGTGTGCTCTAAATTGAAAGTAAAGGGGTGGTGCGGGAATAATTTGGCCTAACCTCTCCCTGATAACTGGATTACAGCATGTTGGTATATATGTGACTTCTCTCAACCCCTGCTTCTTCCCAGCCCAAACCTGCGCATGTCCTTCATCACCTACTCCTGTAAGGGCAATGTCATCTTGCCGCTCACCTCTGACAGGTAGGCTGTCTCCTTTATTTATGCTTTGCTGAGACAAAATATTCAACCCCCCAAATTTAAAGGAGCAAAAGTTTATTTTAGCTCAGAGTTTATAGTGGTTTCAGTCAATAGTTGGCTGGCTCCAAGGCAGGGCCTCATAGCAGAGGGGCATCACAGAGAGGAGAAACAGTCCATGGCAAAGAGGAAGCAGTGAACCAGCAGCTTCCCTTTCCCTTTTTATTACATCCAAGTTAAAAGCTTATTGGTTGGTGCCACCCACACCCGGGGTGGGGCTTCTGTCTTCAGTAAATCCATTCAGCCACCTCTTGAACTATGCTAAACCCATCAGGGATAATCCAGTAACACACACACACACACACACACACACACACACACACGTAATCACAGTGTTACACGTCCATGATCCAGCCACCTCCCCACAGTCCCACCTATGAGCAATGAGGCTTTGAGGGAACATCTCAATACAAACCATAACATAAATGCTGATTTTGATCCCGATACAAGCCTGGTTTTCAGGACACGAGGGGGGGGCTTTGCTGAGATGCCAAAGATGCTCTCTCCAGTGCACAGGGTGGGCTAGATGGGGACATTTCCACGCTACCTTTGACCTCAGACTGGCTTCCTGCCCTCCTGGAGTCTAAAGGCAGGCCCAAGAGGGTCTGGTTATGGCAACCCCAGCATACAAGAAGCCTGGTAGAGCAGGTCTGTGGGTCCCATAGTTACCATGGACAGAATGGAGCCTCCTAAAACAGGTCATACTCTGCCCTGAGCCAGTGTGGCAGGGACCAGGGGAAGAGCTGGGAACATTGAGCAGGACAGTGGGGTCCTCAGGTGGGTCCCAGACGGGGAATGCACCAGTGGCTGTGGATCCCTGGCTGATCTGGGTGCCATGAGGAGGCCTAAGGAGCAAGCATGGGGGGAGAAGGTGTCCCACTGGTGCTCAGAGGCCAGGAGACCCCAAATAGGGGTGCTGGGGAGGATCTGACAGTCTGGAAGTGAAGTGTCACCTTGGATACAATGTCAAGGACCCCTCCAGAGAGGAGGAGTTCAGAGGAAAGGAGAAGGGGTGCCTGCAGTTGTAGGGGAGCTGGTACAGGATGTCTGGAGAGAAGCCAAGTGCAGAATGAAGCAGGACAGGCCAGACTGCAGGGTGGGAGCATGGGGACTCCAGGGCCCATGCACAGGTCATGGCTGGGTACAGCTGGCAGAGGAGCAGGGAGGGGCTTGCTTGGTGGGCAAGGGAGAGATGTATGCTGTGTATTCTGTGCTGGGGGTTGGGGAAGACCTGCATGGGCATGGGAGGTGGAGGAGCTGGTAGGAGCAGTGGTTGGGCACAATGTGGGGCTGGTTTGGGCAGGACCTGGCTGGGCCTCCCCTGGGCAGGGCTGGCTGTGTCACCTCCTGAAAGGGCCAGGACGGGGAGGGTCCAGGGCCCTCAGAGCTTGGCGCACAGAGGGTCTCTGACCCAGGAGGAAGCCACCCTCAGGGTCTTCTCTCTGGGTGGCCTTGCTGTGCAGGTTCAGCCCTGCCACAGCCAATCAGCCTGAGCCCAGCTACCCCTTCCAGTCCCA